CATTGTCAAGGAACTATGCGAGTAGTCACGAAAGCGCTTGGAATTTCACTACTCTTAAAATCACCTGTTTACTGTGATCTTATTGCGCATATATATATATATATATAATATATATATATATAATATATATATATATATAATATATATATATATATATATATATATATATATATATATATATATATATATATATTCTAACACACACACACACTATATGTACATCAAAAGCTACTCAAGAATTCTGCCCCAGTATATGATTTAAGCTTTCGCTGCATTTTCTGAGAACTGAACGAAATGTTTTGGGAAAAAAAAAGAGGAGAGGAGTGTGGTGGTGGTGAGAGGTCGGGTCTGGCAAATGACGTTAGTAAGAAACAAAAAGGTTAACAAGAGGAAAATATTCAATTGTGTTGTTGTGCTGATACCACATACAAATTGTAGTCGTGTGCTGTGTCTGTTTGGGTCTCTTACGTCTCCTAACCTAGTCCTTTTTGCTGGGTTCGAATCTCGGCTCCTGGCCTATTTTGTCCTCTTCGATCACCCACACTCCTAGAAAAAGGTGAGGGGCAGTTTACTGAATTTTTCCCGGGTCATTGACTGAGGCTGGGACAAAAAGTAGATTCTGCTACTGATTGTGTCAGCGAAAACATTTCCCTGTATAATCTGATAGACAATGGCCTCTACTAACCTAACAAGTGTACAACACGTCTCTGGTTTGAGAATTCCTTATTGAAATCTCCACAACAAGATCCCTAGAATGACAGGCTAGTAACTGCCTTATCCTAGTTCGAATCCCTGAACTCCTCGAAATAAAATAAATAAATATATAAAGTTCCTCTCGAAGTTACTTACAGCAGATGTTAAGAACTTAATCTACTCATAGCAGATCTTAAGTCTTCTCAGAATTTAAAGATCTCACGAGTTTCTGCTAAGTCTTTCAATGTCCTGCACATTAATTTGATTGGAGTTTAAATAAGGTGCTGGACAGTGATTCCTCAATGAAAATTTTAAAACAGCATTCGATTAAATGAGGACCGAAAACCTGGAAAGCAAAGTTAGTGGGTCTATAAAGAGAAACCTACATGAGCCAACATGGGAGAGAAACCACAAGCATGCAAGGTAAGCAACATAAGAATGCAAGGCAAGGCTCAATCAGCAACACAATAATGCATGGTAAAGGCTCAATCAGCAACACAAGAATGCAAGGTAGGGGATTAATCAGCAACACAAGATTTAATATTCAACGTGAAGTCTCCAGCGATATTTAGATATGTTACAGCGGTGGTCAAGCGAGTGGCTGCTGGAGTTCAAACAAAATCAAGATCACGAAATTTGATGAAGCGGAGGGAAGCTGGAAGATGGAATACAGACGGATGCAAGACACTACAAGTATGGACGAAAGAAAAGCAATTAGGAATGAACATACTGCCAAAAGAGCGCATAAACTGATCTGAGCAGCTTATGCGAGACTAGCAAATCTCAATAGCAACCTCACCAATGAATCGTCAGAGACTTTGTAAACAACGTTAGCCAAGCTCATCTTGGAATATGCAACGGCATATTGGAGTCTACACCCAATTAAGCATGGTCAGATACCTGAAAGATGCATAGGTTTGCAATCAGAGTAACTTCACTCTATGACCTTGGAAAAGAGGTCAAGGAGAGACATGGTTACGACGTATAAAATACTTCAAGGAACTGAAAACAGTGTGTGGATCAGGTACAAGAGGACAGAGAAAGTTAACAAAAAACAACAATCACAAGAATGTCAGGAAGAACTTGCTCAGTCTGAGGGTAATAGGAAAGTGTAATGAACTTGATGTGGAAGCGGAAAATAAACTTTGTGTTCTGTTTCATGAGCAGATCTTGAGGGGTTTATGCAGCCAGGAACCTGTAATGCCGGTCGATGAAGATAAAGTCGGGGCCCGAAGCCAGGAATCGACTCCCCCCCCCTCCCCCCACAAACAAATCAGCTAGTACATACAAGCACAATATGCTTCACGTATCAAAATACTTTGTGAAAGTTTTCACGTCAAAAATTGCCTTTGTTGTATCATTGGATTAGGGATAATCAGTACACAGATTCAATAAAGAATTACGAAGTTGCAAGACAACGACGAACTAATAAAATCATTTTCTCAGCCACAAGTTTTCACTTATCAACTTGTCTTCACTTTCTTCATAGTTATTTATATACATGATGAGCATTTATGAAATATGTCTTCCTACAGTGAACGTATTTATACATAGGAATGTAGGAATTTGCATTTTTGAGGAACTGTGAGGTACATAAGTTCCCCCGTCTTTTAATAGCATGCTCATTTATGTTACAGAAGTCTGAACAAAGTTCAGATTTCTGTAACACAATGTCCTCAAAGATTTAAGTTATATCATGAATTAAGGGAAGATCCTGGAGTTACCTTACCAAACAAAGCAAATGCGATAGTAATTATGGACAAGGTGGATTTTGGGAAATGAAGTATAAGCACCGTCTTTAATTAGCTGCTATTTATGTATACAGAAGTACTGAACAAATTACAGATTTTATAAATTCCTCAGAAGAAGTAGATCAGATAAGGGAAGATCTGGAGTTACCTTCCAAACAAACAAGCGAGTATAGGCAAGCGGATTATGGGAAAATATAAAAACATCAGCTAAGGGGGGTGTAAAAAGCAAGGTAAACAAATACACTGTTATAAACCCAGCAGGGGGCAGGCAAGCAGGCTCAGGGACACCTGCTATAGCACCCCAGCAGGGGGCAGGCAAGCAGGCTGAGGGACACCTGCTATAGCACCTCAGCAGGGGGCGGGCAAGCAGGCTGAGGGACACCTGCTATAGCACCTCAGCAGGGGGCAGGCAAGCAGGCTGAGGGACACCTGCTATAGCACCCCAGCAGTGGGCAGGCAAGCAGGTTAAGGGACACCTGCTATAGCACCTCAGCAGAAGGCAAGTCTCCACTTCGTCATCGATAACCAGATCTGGATAGCAGCTGCGATCCGTTAGGCATCCCTGGGCAAGGAGCAGAGGGACACCTTTGGATTACACCCACAAAGGGAGCCTTGCAGAAAGATCTGGAGGGAGGGCGATGTAGAGGGAGAGGAGGAGGAGAAGATTACCGACAGAGAGAGAGGAGAGAGAGAGAGGAGAGAGAGAGAGGAGAGAGAGAGAGGAGAGAGAGAGAGAGAGAGAGAGAGAGATGGGGGAATGGAGGTAAGACAAGAAGGTGGAGGAGCCAGCCAGGCGAGAATGAACGTGTGACCAACAACAAAATAACCGAGATGTAGAGAAAAATGAGCAAAGAATGTGTAGAATAATGGCTGTAAACCAACAAATAGTATATAATAAGACGCTTGTGGTAATGTATTACTTATACAGTGTTTTGCCCACCGAGGGCTTTTATCAGTACAATATAAAATCAACAGTTCATAAAGTATACAGGGTGAGGCGCAGGCCAGGTACATCCCAGGAAAGGTAAGGTATGGATCTGGAGGTCAGGCAACGCCGGATGAACTCCTGGAATTGGCAGGTTGTGTTTTCTACGTTCATCCAAGATGTGTACAGTTAGATAGTGTGCATCTCTATATTTCGCTCTATGGTGTCAGCGAGGTTAACAGCGGCAGCTCCAGGGCGCCTTCACTTGGCCTTGTGATTTTCTGCATTAATAAGATGGTCCTGATCCAGTGTCATGATGCAAGAGTGTGAACTGCGGTGCATCGCTCTCATGTGTTGCGTCTGTTATAAACTGTATGAATACTCGTGTTGCTGTATTCTAATATTCAAATCCCTGATTCACCTACATAACGATCTCCTACACAAGATGTAGACTCCAGCTGTTCTCGTTAAGGTGAGTCGTTTTGGAGAGGGTAGAGAGTACTGCATTACTTATGTTAACTTTCTGAAGAACATAGGTGATAACTGGAAAAAAACAAAAAACATACCACGGACGGGGATAGAACTCGCGATCGGTCTCAAAACTCCAGACTCTCTGATCGCGGGTTCTATCCCCGTCCGTGGTATGGTTTTTTGCAATCGTGTCATTACGATTTCGTGAGTCGTGCTAACTGAAGCCGTGGGTCCAGTAAGTAGTTATCAGCCAGAGGGTGGGTGTGCACACCCTGGGAAAAGGGGGAGTGTACTGTACGTGCTCTTCCGTTCCTACGTACGCGTAAGCTCGTGTACACTTGTGTACATGTGTTGTGTGCTGACAGACAAACACGAACATTTTTTTTCCCTAGACGAATTGTTTATTGTTCCGGGGATAAAAACTCGCGTCATCCAATTACGTCACAAATCACAACATCAAACAGGCCCCGAGGGAGACCCAGTGAGCTGCTGCTGATCCAATATTCTGGCGGTGGTGTGGTGCAGTGGTGGCGGTGGTGTGGTGCAGTGGTAGCGGTGCAGTGGTGGCGGTGTGGTGCAGTGGTGGCGGTGGTATGGTGAAGTGGTGGCGGTGGTATGGTGAAGTGGTGGTGGTGATGTGGTGCAGTGTTGGCGGTAGCGCGACGCAGTGCTGCTGGTGTGGCGCTAAGTTGAGGTGCTGTGACGCACTAACGTATCTGACGGTAGTCTGGCAGTGATGCAAGTGTGACAAGGGTGTGTGACAAGGGGTGTGGCTGGAAAGGAAAAAGGTTAGCGTGAGGTGTGAGGAAGGAGGGAGTTCCACTGTGGTGTGGGTGGGGTGTGACGCAAGGTGTGGCGGGTATACTATTCCATTAAAATTATTTCTTTAAGTTACTTATCATCTAAGGATCACATCCGAGTCAGCTAAGGCAGTAACAGTACACTGTCTTAAACTAGGAGATTCCACTCAAGTATACAAAGTAAACTTTTATGAATTAACTTAACATAAACTTGAGTGCCTACGTTGCAATTTCTCACTTGTAAATGTTAACACAAGTCACAATGTCTCCCTTGTGTTAACGAATCACTATTTCCAAGGTACATGCTAACATAAGACATGTCTCCCTGGTATATGTTAAGTTGAAACGTCTTCCCGGTAGAAACTTCGGGGCGCGGTGCGCTAAGTGCTGCCGCAGCATCGGTGCGGCAGACTGGGTGCGGCGAGCTAGGGACCGTGTCTACCACCTAGCCTGCTTCGCCTGCGACGCCTGCAAACGGCAGCTGAGCACAGGAGAAGAGTTCGCTCTCCACGACAACCGCGTCCTCTGTAAACAACACTACCTAGAGTCCATCGAGGGAGGCGCCTCCAGCAACGATGGTGAATAGTTTCGATAATTAACCTCAAATTTTGTAAAAAAAAAAGGCTAATGCAGCCAAAAGTAACTAGAAGTAAGATCTGCTTTCATTTAGTTAAGATCTGTCTTTCATTTAGTTAAGGCATACGATCTTCCTCTGTCTAGATAAACCAGAACGCACAGGTATAACCTAGTGATATGCTATAAGTATTGCTAGTTTACATTGCTCAGTGTAAGTGGGTGTACCTCAGAGAGTGATGGCAGTGGCAAGGCCAAGAGCAAGAGAGTACGCACCACTTTTTCGGACGAGCAGCTGCAGGTGCTTCAGGCCAACTTCCAGATCGACTCCAACCCCGACGGGCAGGACCTGGAGAGGATCGCGCAGATCACAGGGCTGAGCAAGCGAGTTACGCAGGTATGGTTTCAGAACAACCGTGCTCGACAGAAGAAATACATGACCCAGGGTAAGAGGCACAACGCCCCGCCTGCAACACCAGTCGGGCCAGGTGAGTCTCTTAATACTTTGACTTAAAAGTGGTGTTTGTGTTATTACTAAAGTAGGAAACTTTAGATGGCTTATAACGCATCTATTCTAATTACGATCCCTCTTCCGTCTGCACTTACTTTTCCATAAGAAATGTAATGGTTCTAGATTCCCTTTAACTTCAGCTTAAAAGTTAATTCCTAAACAAACTGAAAGCATTATAACAACATTTTGGGCTGAGCGACTGATTCCCTGGGTAAAAGTCGACTTTCACTCCAATTTTGAATAATGAAGTGAACCGCAGGTCAAAAATTATTTTAGTGATCATTATAAAACAAACTGGGAACGAACAAACAGTTGTGCATAAGACCTAAACTCAAAGACTTTTCGTTAATTAAAACATTTTCCTCTTCTATTTGCTGTAGTTAGAGGAATTGTAACAGTACAGAATACATTTTCAGTATATTTTATATATTAAATATTCATAACATCAGCTGAAACACAAAAATGTTTTCGAACCAAAGCATTTTCAAGAAGAAATTTTATGAAAAAAAACATTTAGGGGAAGATGTCACACAATCTTTGCTGAAGTACTAACAATGGGATCAGCGACAGATCTAGACTACCACTGGATATGTCAGAGATAAACAAGAAGTATGATAAAAAACACCATGATAATGGACACGGCTACGGCAAGTGTTTGAAGCTATACCGCTGAGGGTTTTGGAAGTTATCCATAATTGAATGGATTCAATAACGTTGGTCATAGGACACCTGCACATGCCAGTTGTTCCTAGAATCTGACCCTCGTTACCTTAAACAAGCGTTCACAGTTTGAATATAATCGGATAAGGAGTTCGCGAGTTATGAGCGAAACATCGACAAGTAGAAGGAAGAAAACAAAAATTCAGGTAAAGTCCGAGGCAGCTACGGTGAAAAGCTCTGTTCCACAAGGCACAGTACTCGCTCCCATCTTGTTCCTCATCCTCATATCCGACATAGACAAGGATGTCAGCCACAGCACCGTGTCTTCCTTTGCAGATGACACCCGAATCGGCATGACAGTGTCTTCCATTGCAGACACTGCAAAGCTCCAGGCGGACATCAACCAAATCTTTCAGTGGGCTGCAGAAAACAATATGAAGTTCAACGATGAGAAATTTCAATTACTCAGATATGGTAAACATGAGGAAATTAAATCTTCATCAGAGTACAAAACAAATTCTGGCCACAAAATAGAGCGAAACACCAACGTCAAAGACCTGGGAGTGATCATGTCGGAGGATCTCACCTTCAAGGACCATAACATTGTATCAATCGCATCTGCTAGAAAAATGACAGGATGGATAATGAGAACCTTCAAAACTAGGGAGGCCAAGCCCATGATGACACTCTTCAGGTCACTTGTTCTATCTAGGCTGGAATATTGCTGCACACTAACAGCACCTTTCAAGGCAGGTGAAATTGCCGACCTAGAAAATGTACAGAGAACTTTCAAGGCGCGCATAACGGAGATAAAACACCTCAATTATTGGGAGCGCTTGAGGTTCCTAAACCTGTATTCCCTGGAACGCAGGAGGGAGAGATACATGATTATATACACCTGGAAAATCCTAGAGGGACTAGTACCGAACTTGCACACGAAAATCACTCACTACGAAAGCAAAAGACTTGGCAGACGATGCACCATCCCCCCAATGAAAAGCAGGGGTGTCACTAGCACGTTAAGAGACCATACAATAAGTGTCAGGGGCCCGAGACTGTTCAACTGCCTCCCAGCACACATAAGGGGGATTACCAACAGACCCCTGGCAGTCTTCAAGCTGGCACTGGACAAGCACCTAAAGTCAGTTCCTGATCAGCCGGGGTGTGGCTCGTACGTTGGTTTGCGTGCAGCCAGCAGCAACAGCCTGGTTGATCAGGCTCTGATCCACCAGGAGGCCTGGTCACAGACCGGGCCGCGGGGGCGTTGACCCCCGGAACTCTCTCCAGGTAAACTCCAGGTAAAGGTCCCCCTTTGGTGGCACCTAATTACCCAAGTCTGTATGGTCACTCTGGGACTAGCATGTTATAGTAATTAATCTCTATGAATTATAATTTATTTGGGGCTATTATTCATGTCATTAGGAATGATAAATGTAGAAGGAAAGTAAGGATAGGAAAAAAAAAAAACAATAAATCAAGAGTGCACGAGGTTATACTGACAGATCTTGTATTATCCACCATTTTTACAGCCACACCACCAGTTACCATCAAGGTCTTAATTACCATTACTAATTAATCAGAAAAATAATTGTTGCCTAAGAGTGCTGTAATTACTACTAGCAGAACACCAACCACTTGTCCGGTGACCGCATTTAACAAAAGTATCGCAGTCACTCGGTTTGTGGTCGTTCCGACTACTATAATAACGTCACAAACTACCATCGACGTAACTACAACCCTTAACCTGCACTAACAACCTTTAGTGAGACGTCAACTGCTCATTACTCTTATAGAGCCAGTAATTACAACATCAATCTTGCTTTCGGCGAGTGGAAATGAAGCATAAAACTCTGACACTAAGACAAGAATCAGACCTTGCGGCAAGATTTATGATCAGTTGTAATTATAATCATGAGAAGCACTAAACCTGCACGTTACACAGCGCCTGAGGAATGTGAGGCGATCAGGTTTGATCCAAGGAAAGTTACAATAGCTTCAATTCTATGAAAAAAGTGATCTTCACCAGCTTCAAGATGTCCCATACACGTGCAAAGCATTAAGGCGTTCATACAAACAAGGAGGTACTGTACATTTAGTGGAGAGGCTTACAGATATCGAGGATTGCTTAACAAATGTCTTCACCAAAACGTCAATAATAGGCAATAATACAGTTGAAAGCCAACATGGGTAACATTTTACACATATCTAACAAACAGGTTAGTATTGTCAATATAACTATCTTCACCAACCATACACTTTCATAACAGCACTTTACATAAGAACATAAGAAAGGAGGATCACTGCAGCAGGCCTGTTGGCCCATACTAGGCAGGTCCTTTACAGTCCATCCCACTAACAAAACATTTGCCCAACCCAATTTTAATGCTACCCAAGAAATAATCTCTGATAACTATCTACTCATTTGCAAGTCCCAATCAGATCCAACACCTCTCACTCATGTATTTATCCAACCTAAATTTGAAACTACCCAAAGTCCCAGCCTCAATCACCCAACTAGGTAGACTGTTCCACTCATCAACTACCCTATTTCCAAACCAATACTTTCCTATGTCCTTTCTAAATCTAAACTTGTCTAATTTAAATCCATTACTGCGGGTTCTCTCTTGGAGAGATATCCTCAAGACCTTATTAATATCCCCTTTATTAATACCTATCTTCCACTTATACACTTCGATCAGGTCTCCCCTCATTCTTCGTCTAACAAGTGAATGTAATTTAAGAATCTTCAATCTTTCTTCATAAGGAAGATTTCTAATGCTATGTATTAATTTAGTCATCCTACGCTGAAAGTTTTCTAACGAATTTATGTCCATTCTGTAATATGGAGACCAGAATTGAGCTGCATAACCTAGGTGAGGCCTTACTAATGATGTATAAAGCTGAAAGTTAAGACACATGTGCAACATCTGGATATCTTTATTGTAGACGTTTCGCCATCCAGTGGCTTTATCAATACAGATTCTAGGATATAATAGGAAGACAGTAGAACTATAAACAAAAGATGAGGTAATCAGTCCCTCAGCCTTGAAGTTAGTGTTCACAGCATCGTGGAGGAGAATCTGGAGCAAAGGCAAGAAGACTGGCGGTTATATAGGCGTCAATGGATAGGGACGGGCAGCAGACGAGGGCATAGTCACTGGTAGGCGGGATTCCCCAGTGGAAGTAGGTCCTTCCCAAAGAGATGGATTAGGTGCAGCAGCCCTGAAGAAGGTCTTGTAGATGTCCTCTGAACCAAGATTCCATGATGTTGCAGTGTCTGACAAGTTGTGCAAGAAAGGTATAAAATACCGACAATATAAAGCCACTGGATGGCGAAACGTCTACAATAAAGATATCCAGATGTTGCACATGTGTCTTAACTTTCATATTGTCGGTATTTTATACCTTTCTTGCACATGTATAAAGCTGCAGTATGACCTCTGGACTTCTGTTGTTTACACTTCTTGATATAAATCCCAGTAATCTATTTGCCTTATTACGTACGCTTAGGCATTGCTGTCTTGGTTTAAGGTTGCTGCTTACCATAACCCCCAAGTCCTTTTCGCAATCTGTATGGCTAAGTTCTACATTATTTAACTTATAAGTGCTAGGGTTATGGACACTCCCGAGCTTCAGAACCTTGCATTTATCTACATTGAACTGCATCTGCCACTTTTCTGACCAAGAATAGAGTTTGTCTAAATCTTTCTGAAGTTCCCTAACGTCTACGTTTGAATCAATTATCCTACCTATCTTTGTGTCATCGGCGAATTTGCTCATATCACTGGTAATTCCCTCATCAAGATCATTGATATATATTATAAACAACGGGCCCAAGACTGATCCCTGTGGAACGCCACTTGTTACAGATTCTCACTCAGATTTAACCCCATTTATGGACACACTCTGCTTCCTGTCTGTGAGCCATGACTCGATCCATGAGAGCACTTTTCCCCCCAATGCCATGAGCTGCCACTTTCTTTAACAGTCTTTGGTGCGGAACTCTATCAAAAGCCTTACTAAAATCTAAGTAAATAATATCAAATTCTTTATCATGGTCAACAGCCTCGAAAGCTTTACTGAAGAAAGTTAATAAATTAGTTAGACAAGACCGGCCTCTTGTGAATCCATGCTGAGTATCATTAATCAAGCTATGCTTATCGAGATGGCTTCTTATAATCTCAGCTATAATTGACTAGTAATTTGCCTACAGTTGAGGTCAGGCTTATTGGGCGGTAATTTGATGGTAACGACTTGTCCCGTTTTAAAAATAGGAATTACATTAGCCATCTTCCACATATCAGACACTACACCTGT